TTGATAATTATATTAAAATCTGATAAAAGTATAACTCATGTAATTCAGTCTTGAACTAAGAGCAAAGGGGGAAATTACAACTTTATACATTAAATTGATGGATGCTGCACACATAAAAAACATAGAAGAGTGATGGAATTGTGCAGATACAATTGCTTTTCAGAGTTTTCAGTTACAAACTGAATTGCAACTGGTGTTGCAATTGTATCCTGGGCTGCATCAAAAGAGGTGTGACCAGCAGGTCGAGGGAGGTGATTATGCCCTGCTACCCCGCTCTTGTGAGACCCCACCTGGAGTACTGCGTCCAGCTCTGGGGGCCCCAGTACAGGAGAGACATTGAGCTGTGGGAGTGGGTTCAGAGGAGGCCATGAAGATGATGAGAGGGCTGGAGCACCTCTCCTATGAGGACAGGCTGAGAGAGTTGGGATTGTTCAGCCTGGAGAAGAGAAGGCTCCGGGGAGACCTTATAGCAGCCTTCCAGTACCTGACAGGGCCTACAAGAAAGCTGGAGAGGGACAGAGGCATGGAATGATAGGACAAGGGGTAATGATTTTAAACTGAAAGAGGGTAGATTTAGTTTAGAAATACAGAAAAAATTCTTTATTGTGAGGGTGGTGAGGCACTGGAACAGGTTGCCCAGAGAAGTTGTGGATGCCCCATCCCTGGAAGTGTTCAAGGCCAGGTTGGATGGGGCTTTGGGCAACCTGGTCTAGTGGAGGGTGTCCCTGCCCATGGCAGGGGGGTTGGAACTAGATGATCTTTGAGGTCCCTTCCAACCCAAACCATTCTGTGATTCTGTTTCTATGGCTGGGCTCTGTTTCCTGGCTCCAGGGCTGGAGCGGTGGCTCAGGCTGCAGCCTGGCCTACCACCCACCCGGTCCCCAGGATGAACAGAGGATTTACACCTCTCTGTGTAAGGATTTTAGTTTTGGCTTAGGTCTGCAGCCTCTTGACAGTCAAATTGTTGCAACTACTGCCTGTCCACTTCTTTCCAAGCAGGATAACATCATCAAACTGAAGCTCTCTCTGCTGGCTTAGTCCAAAAAAAGCAAATACACCAGTGTCAGGGAGGAGACAGGGCATTAAGAGTAGAAGCTGGAGGGAGGAGAGGATTCTGCTGGCACCCACTGAGATCAGCTCATTGCAGCCTTGCAGATGAAACCTTGAGGAGATGGTAGCATGACTGAAAAGGGGCAGCATCTCCAATTGTAATTCCCAAACACCCCCACCAGTGCACACTCAGAAAAAGCTGCAAAACTGGCTCCTCCCTCTTTTTTTTCCTTTTTCTGATTTTCCTCGGCTTGTCCTGATTTTCCTCAGGGCTCTGTTTATGGAGCTTCGTGCCCCAGCCTTGTTCTTGGCCGGTGGGGTCAATGCAGCAGCAGCAGGGTTGTTGTCACAGGGGTTTGGGCTCTGGCCAGTCCCTGCTGGGCTCCCAAATGGAATCTGAAAGTCACGGCCCTGTGGCTGACACTTCCCCTTCTGTGGTTTCCTTGCCTTCTCCAGCTCAGCAAAACTGTGTGATCCTGACATAATTTCCGAAATATGATGTATTCATTTTCTTTCTTTGAAACTTTGAGGGGGATAAAAGGAGGGCAGCAGCAGCAGGGGCCAAGCATCGTGCAGAGCAGAGCACTGCAGCCACCCAAGCTCCAGCCCCGCTCATGGTTCCCTTGGCCCCTGCAGCACCATGAAAGTCAGAGAATAGAATCGTAGAATCATTTAGGTTGGAAAAGACCTTTAAGATCATCGAGTCCAACTGTTAACCTAGCAGTTCCAAGTCCACCGCTAACCATAGAATTATAGAATGGTTTGAGTTGGAAGGGACCTCAAAGATCATCTGGTTCCAAATCCCCTACCATGGGCAGGGACACCCTCCACTAGACCACGTTGCCCAAAGTCCCATCCAACC